TTTAATGAATATCACTGCCCAGAGCCGTATTCTCTCTGTGAATACAAATTAAGGAATGACCCCATCAAATGCTATGTTGTCTCCATGAATACCAATTAAGGAACTGGCCTTGCTGTTTGCATTTAGATTCAGAAAATAGCTTAGTAGGCAATCCCTTGCGGACTGTGTTCTGGGCATTCACAGTGCATTGCTGAGTGGCTGTGGCATACTCAACTCATAGGGAGTCTGGTCATGGATTTGAATTGGGATTAACTAGTCTACAGAAAATGACAATATGTGGGACAATGATGTAGGTGTCTTGGGTTAGTCAACTTCACCAAAGGCCAATGAGCACAGGGGACTAGGACAGCTCCAACCACATCATGAGTCTGCCACGGGTAAGGTCTGACTGAATGCAGAGGCTCCCAAGTTTTGACTATGTAATCCTCCATGTATGTCTTACAGAAACCCGTGTTGATCCTAGGGAGGGGGAGATAGCTCTGTTGCTGAAGTGCTTGCCATGCAAGTGTGATAGTCTGAGTTTGATCCACAGAATCCATGGGTCATAGTTATGTTTCTATTGCCCTGATAATACGCCATTACCAAGACAACTTATAAAAGAAAGCATTAAGTTGGGGCTTACGGTTTTAGAGTGTGATTGTCCATGACCATCAAGGTAGAGTGCATGGCAGCAGGCAGGCAGGCATGGCCTAGAACAACAGCTGAGAGACAACAATCCCAAGGCATAGAAAATGTTAACTGGGGACGGTGTAACTCTTTCAAAGCCTGCCCCTAGTGGTGTACCTTCTTCAGCTTGACTGCAACTCCTAACCAAAGACTCCATCTCAGGGGAGGTGGGTGGAGTTCCTAAGTGAATGCCGGAAGTTGCCCTCTGGCCTCCAGGTCCTCTTTGCATGCACCCCTCCCCCGGTGCACTGAAAGAAAGTTGTTTCTCTTTTAGTTCTTTGTTGGAGCTGATTCTTCCCAGTTTAAAGCAAGGACTCTAATGCGCCTTTCACCTCTCTTCATTAAGGATCCCCTTTGCATGAGAGTCAACTAGAAATGTCAAAGGCATCCACAAACAAATACTGTTAATCCCTTAATCTGCTTGCTATTGTAACATTCTATTTATGGCAGGAGACCAGATGCTGGCTGTTCTGTTACAGCCATAGCATAAAGTTGTGATTTTAAAATGAGTTTAAATCCTAAAGGCATGATGGTTTTAGAGAAACCTTTTAAATAAACAGTACTTGGCAGGGAAAAAAGAAAATCTTAAAAATTGATATGCAAATGATTGAAACTTAGGGAACACTGAGTGGCTGAAAATACACTGAACTGGTTATAAGTCTAATTCTAAGTCTGTCACTAATTATCAGCTTGTCCTTGGGCAGGGTGATAAATCTTTCATGGATCTGTTTCCTCATTATCCAAAACGAACGGTGATATTTGCAAAAATACCTTTACGTTATGATGGGGAGATTAAAATTAAGTGATGGATAGTAAAATACAGTAAAAGTTGAAGGTTTATATGCATAAGGCTCATTATTATGTGTATGAAGCAGCGCATCACAGAGAGAGAGAGACCTTCGGCTGGTTAATGGAAAAACAGTATCTCATTTTCTTATTATGATCATGGCATTTAAGGTTTGTTGGTGATAGTATATGTCACCAAGGGTGTGTGTGTGTATGTGTGTGTGTCAGAAAGAGAAGGAAAGGAAACAGAATACGTACATTTCACATATTAGCACCATTCCCAAATGCTAAAACTGTGGCCTTTTTCAGATGCATCCCTTTATTCTTAGAGTTTCCCTGGTAGTGAAAGTGTTTAAAAAGTCAGTTGCATTTAAATAGCATGCCAGGTGATAGATTTTCTTTAGAGGCTTTATTTATTTTTATATTTTATGTGTATGAGTGTTTTGCCTGGGTGTGTGTGTGTGTGTGTGTGTGTGTGTGTGTGTGTGTTTGTGCACCACACATGTGCAAGCCCAGAAAAGGGAATTAGATCCGCAAAACTGGAATTACAGATAGTTGTGAGCTACTGTGTGGATGCTAACAACTCATATTGGGTCCTCTAGAAGAGCAACAAGTACTCTTAGCCACTGAGCCATCTCTCCATGACAAAGTCTCATTCATCTCAAAAATTAATAAAAATATTTTGGACTATTTGCATTAACTTGTTAAGAATAATACACTTTAATATTGTATCAAAATTATTTCTTGACCAAAAATACTATTTGGAACTGCATTGTTATAGCTTCTCATAAAAAAGAAAGAAAGAAACAAACAAACAAACAAAAAAGAACCAAAAAAACCCCAAAACAAAAACTAAAACAAACAAACCCCAAAATACTTACATTTGCTTATTCCAGAAGATTTTTGGATTTCTTTTGCCAGATTAATCTTTTGTTTATTCTTTAAGCTAAAGTTTTGTTTTGACTAAATTATAATGGTTCAATTAAATGTCTAACTTATTTTAATATTAGTGATATGTCATGACATTCTGATCCTGTTTTGTTTCTGCCAGTATTACTGTTACAAAATACATGTAACTACATTTTCCTTCATTAATTAATATATGATTTATAGAATATTCACACGTATAGATAATGCCAGCAGTTGTGGTTTTCTTTGCTATTAAGCAAAGTTTGGTAAGCGTTGTCACCACTGAATGCAATGTTAGATATAATGAGCTCATTTGCATATCAGTTTTCCTGCTTAGCCTGAGATGGCAAGTCTCAAATTGATGCAATTATCAGAATCATTTGGAGGGCTTGTTAAAATAATCCTGCATTTGGAGTTCACAATTCAGCAACTCAAGGAGGTCCTGAGGATGGGTATTTCTAACCAGTTTGAAGTCACATATTCAAATTTTTATTTATTTCTTCTGAGAGAGATTCTCATGATATCCAGATAGCCTTCAGAATCACTATGTAGCTAAGGCAAGCCTTGAACCGCTAACTCTCATGCCTCCACCTCCTTTCTGAGTGCTGAGATTATAGGTGGACACTGCATACCGGGCTTCAGGTAATGTTGATACTGAAGCCCTGGGTCCACGGCGTGGTGCCCACTGGTCTGGTGGGTAGCAGCATCAAATAACAATAACATTTGTTGCCTAGATGGACATCTGAGGTATATGCCCTGCCTTTCACACTTATGAGTTGTGTCATATAGACAAGTTAGGGATTGTGTGTGCCATCTGCAATGAGTGGGAAAGGACACGGCAAGGGCCTAGGACTAGGATGAGCTGACTAACGTAGCCGGTGTGGAGCGCGGCATCTGGAGTGGAGACGGCAGAAAGAGCGGCAGGTGGCAGAAGTGTCCTCCCAGTGCTGCAATTCCCCACGGTAAACCACGACCGAAACTAGTAAGTGGAGACTCCACAAGTTAAGTTCACTATGGAAACTGTGTATTGACACTATCCTGAATGCACAGTAATCCCTTTCACCGACCTACTGTGGCTGTAATTTGGTCTGTTGTCCAGTGTGCCCATGTTGTGTATACTACCCACATGTCAAACACTCAGGGGCTATGCCAGGATTTTTCTTCTAACCAGCTTCCAAATCATGACACAGAGGCTTAGTAGTTTTGAATGCTCGGCCTTACCTTAGCTCTTTTCCAGCTAGCTCTTTTAACTTAAATTAACCCGTGTCTCTTCATCTACCCTTTGCCTTGGGCTTTTTACTTTTCTTTCTGTGTATCTTACGTTCACTACTTGTCTCGACTGGCTGTCTGGCAGCTGCCTGGCTGCTGGCCCAGGGTGTCTGCCTCATTCTCAAATTTATTCTCTCTGCCTGCTGGCCCAACCTACCCTTTCTCTTGCCTAGGTATTGGCCATTCAGCTCTTTATTAGACCAATCAGCTGCCTTAGGAAGGCAAGGTGAATCAAATGCAGCACATCTTTACATAGTTAAACAAATGCAGCATAAACATAAATATATACACATATAAATAACTACACAGTTAAGGTAATATTCCTCACCATAAACAAGCGTAACACATCTTTGCCTAGTTAAAATAATATTCTTCAACGAAGAGCAATCTCAGTTATCACAGACCTACTGTTATACCCAGGGAGTTCCTGTTCAGGAACCATTATTTCTCTGAGCAGTGACCTCAGAGAGCAAATGTAATGATGATGGCTATATGAACATGCCAAGAGAAGCTAGGTGTTTCTTTCAGGTGAGGAGGTGAATGTTCACGACTTGTGAAAAAGATTTGTATTAATGGGATGGCCAAGATCTATAATGACATTGAGACTTCTATCCATGAAGTAGTGAGGGGAGGCAAATTACAGGAGTTTTGCCGTCAGCCTTCTACAGAAGTCATACAAAGTACACAGCGAGCACTTAACAAAGATGGCGTGGATGAAACTATAGGGTTCATTGCCATCTGAGGTTTAAGGCGTCACTGGTGGATGCCTCACAAATACGGCATGGTTTTTATCTGTGTTAATCTGTGCTTACCTACAATACGAACTTATATGTATTTTACAAGGAAGGGTGGGCAAATGGACAGACTTTCATTTGTGGTATTCTTTTCATGAGAAATTTTCTGCAAGAAAGGGAATTGAGTGAAAAGAATTGATGGCCGGATGCAGTAACACACACGCATCATCTCAGGTCATGAGTTCTAAGCTACTGCAAAGGCTGATCTTAACCTTAATGACAGTTTGACACAAGCAACGATCACATAGAAGAGGGAGCCTCAACTGAGGAAATGCCTCCATTAGATATTGTACTGCAAGCAAGCATGTAGGGCATTTTCTTAATTGGTGATTGATGGGGAAAGACACTGTGTTAAGACGAAATGTGAACTGAAATAAACTTTTTCCTCTGCAAGTTTCTGTGGTCATTGTGTTTCTTCACAGCAACAATCACCCAAACTAGGGCAGTGACCCTGCATTTTGGGGCAGCCCGAGAGCAGTGCCCTTTGAGAATGTGGAAGGATAGACCCTGGTTTGCAGTTTTAGTGCAGTGCTTCTCAATAGACCTCATGGCATTTATTTCTTTTTCTTCCCTTAGCAACAAGAACAAGACCCCACAAATCTATACATCTCAAATCTCCCCATCTCTATGGATGAGCAGGAGCTGGAGAACATGCTCAAGCCCTTTGGACATGTGATATCCACCAGAATCCTGAGAGATGCTAACGGAGTCAGCAGGGGCGTTGGCTTTGCCAGGTAATTCTTTTTTCTGTAAGGGACCCATGTGGGATCTGTTTTTCCTCGTATCTTCTACTCAATCCCACTCCTCAGAAATATCTAGGGCCTAAAGCAGTAGAGAATGCAAGATAAAATAAACTACAGCTAGCTTATCAAATATTTCATCTTTCTGGAGCTTTACTTCAAGCCACAGAAGAAACCATGAAATTGTAAATACATTGTGCTTGCTAATACATGCACACAGACTGTCTGCATGGGTCTCTGATCATAACAATACTCACATTTAATATTCAATCCTGTCTACACTTGCAAAGCAACTAAATCTGAGGGTACCAGTTTCAGGAGATTCTGCATAGTGGAGCTGGGGGATGTAGCTCATTTGGAAGACTGCTTGCCTAGCATGGAGGAAGCTGGGTGTAAAGCCCTGTGTAAACCAGACATGGTGGCGAACACTTGCAGTTCCAGGGCTGGGGAGATGGAGGCAGGAGGATCAAAATTTCAAGGTCATCGTTGGCTACATGGCAAGTCCAAGACCAATCTGGGCTACATGAGGTACATTTCAGAAAAGCAAAGAACAAGAAGTAAGTGCCATGCAGTGAGCAAGACTTCTTCCTAGTTTGCCTGCGGGTTTTCAATAGAGAGAGAAGGCAGTGAGGAGCAGAGCGAAGAGAGGGGAGACTCAGAGGGTGGCTCTTGTCTGGAAGTCCCAGAGAGGGTGTACGTAGAAGGGGAGGTCAGCAAGGCGTTGGCATTTAGGGGGCACACGCACTGGCTGTGTGTTTTTGATATTTCAGGCAGAACAGAAATAAATATGTATTTCTCCCCCTCTCATCATCAGCAAGGAAAGAACAGCTTTCGTTTTAACTTTAAGGGAATGTTTATAAAAGAGGGTCTTGGCCAGGAATAACGTTAGACAGCCAGGCCTGCCGTGCTTTCCTGAGAACACAAAGGCAAAGAGGTCTCAAAGAGAGAGCAGCTGCTCAGTGATAAGAATTTGGAAGATTAAACTGAGTCCCATGTGACTGAGAGTGGGTGGAAAGAGGAGTTGGGGCAGTGTAGACTAGTGGTTCACCCCGAGTTGATCAGTGGAACATGCACACGGTAAACCAGACATGGCGGCTCACACTCATAGTCCCACTGAGTGTGATGGGGGCCAAGAGGATCAGAAATTCAAGGTCATCACTGGCTACATAGCAAGTCCAAGACCAGCTTGTCTGCGTCCTCTTCCAGCCCTACCTCTGGCTTGCATGTTTGTTTACTTTGTTCATTGTTGGATGGGTGGGTGGGTGGGTGGTAAGTGATGTTTCTTGATTTCTATCCTATGAAGTTCCAGAATAGCTCAGCTAAAGAGTTCTAGCACTCAAAGCTGAGTTCACTAAGGGCACTCACTGGTCATGGTAGATTAGGGTCCTCTTTTAACTTAATTACCTGTCTCTATATGCATTTAACTTCTGAGATATTATGGGTTAGGACTACACATGAACTTGAGAAGGGGCTACAGAACAGTCAGGGTTACTCACTTGTCTTTCATGCCAATCCTTGCTGTATATTTGGGGTTTGTCTAAAGGGAAGGAAGCCTGGTCTTCTACAAAGGGTGTGTTCAAACAATGTAAGTCATCAGATCAAAACTGCAATCACAGCAGACAGAATCATGAAATAACAAAATGTAGATAGATCTCTGGAGGAATTGTGGGAGGCTGGAAACTGTCAATAGATTATTCTCCCTGTTGTAAATTCAGCGCCTTCTTCCTCTGGTGTATTTCTCATAGAAAAGTCATAGGGCGCCTTTCAAATCTGGGCACATCAGAGTTCTTCAGAATTGCCTGAGTGATTTCATTCTGCAACTATCCCCAAGTGTCACCCTGGCCTGACTCACCTTCTAGGGCATGGTTCTCCCTGTCTTGTGACCTGGATGAGGCTACCCTTCTTCAGTGACCACCTTGTCTACAGCTTTTCTGCTGCCTTCTGCCTACTCAGCTCTTAGGTACTGACTGGGCCATTTTTCTTCAAAGAATTCTTCCCTGACCTCTAACTCCAGACTGCTACCCAAGTTAAATGATCTTGTTCATACTCAGGAAAAAAAATTCTCAAATAAAATTTATCATAGTGGTACCTAATCCTTTACTTATTTCTGCATTTTCCAACTGAATTTCTGGCTTGATTTCTTTTTTATTATTAGATGTGTGAATGAGTAGATGAATATGTGGTTGGGTAGATGGATTGGTGAGTGGATGAATGGATGGATGGATAGATGGATGGATGGATGGATGGATGGATGGTGGGTAGATGGATTTTTGGACTTGGATGGTGGATGATACATTGGTAGGTGGGTAGATGGATTGATGTGTGGGTGAATGGGTGGGTTTACTGGTGGATAATGGGTGGAGGGGTAAGTAGGTGAATACATAGGTGGATAGGCGGCTGGTGGGTGGATGAATGGGTGGATGAGTGAGTGAGTAGAAGAATGAATGAGATGGGCTGGTGGGTGAGTGGGTGGACGAACAGATGGATGAGTGAACAGGTAGATGTGTGGATGGATGAGTAGACTTTTAACTATATGATTATCATTCAATGGCATTCTGAAGTAAACTAGCTCAGCAATCTTTAACTTGGGTCTGTGTCCTTGAATCACCAGTTGAATTCTTCTACTGAACCCCGGCTTGTTTGGTTTTGTTTTTCATTTTGCCGACAGGAGCCCTCTGTATCTCAGGATTATAAATGCACACTCAACAGGCATTTCTTCTCTCAGGGTTGGATTTACTACTTTTAGAAGGCAAATGCCTTTAAAAGAACACCATAAGTTGAAGCAAAGATCCTGACTTTTTATGCCTAAGAGTTAGACCAGAGAATGTGAGCATGACTGTCTTTTGTCAGCTCTGAGAAGTAGATGTAGAAATGAGCCCTCTTTTCTCTGTGGATTTTAGATTTTAAATTCTGAGGAGTGAACCCTCTATGACTGACCCAATGACATGGACTATGACAATGCTTTTTAGCTCTACCATGTGTTGCTAGAGCCATCCAGATTCCTGCATACTCACAACGTAACATTTACTCTGTTTTCTGGAACAATAATGGCTCTTGTTTCTACTATAAGGACTATAAATGAAATTTCCGCAGAGTTCTCTCTTTTTCGAAATGGAAAAAAAAATCACTGCATGTGTTTTATTGTGTGTGGAGAAGAGGGGACATGTTCCAAAGGCTGAGTGCAGAGGTCAAGGAACAACTTCCAGGCATTGTTTTTTTTTCCACCTTGTGTGTTCTAAGCATTGAACTCATCAGGCTGTCCGGCTCCAGGACAGGTGCCTTTAACCCCCGAGCCATTTCTCTGTTGCTGCTTTTAAAAACAGCACCTCTTTTTCCCACTAGCCTTTTCTCCTTGGGAAGTCTATTTCTGAACCACAGAACAGAGATGACTGGTCAGGGTTGTTGATTCTTCCGGGGCTAACACATAGCAAGCAAGAGACGGTACCAAGTTGTATACAGCTGCCTTTGGGCAGCTGTGTTTAGAGTGTTAGCCACTTCAGAGTCCCCTGAGAACTTGGTGTGATGTGTGTTTTCCTGTGATGACCCACTGACTCAGTAGGCTGATGGAAGGTGTAGACAGTCATCTGTAAACTGTATTCTCAAGTGCTGGCATGCGCCAATCAGTTTGCTCTGGCATTAGAGAGGCATCACCCTGGTGTGTCAAGACTGGTTCTCTGCATTATTTGGAAGATCTGTGCCTTAGTTGGAGCTTCTGTTGCTATTATGAATCACCAGGACCAAAGCAGCACAGGGAGAAATGGCTTTATTTGGCTCACACATCACAATCCATTGAAGGATGCCGAGACAGAAATTCAACCAGGACAGGAACCTGGATGTAAAGCTGATGCAGAGGCCATGGAGGGAGCTGCTCACTGGCTTGCTGCTCATGGCTTGCTCATCCTGCCTTCTTATAGAATCCAGAGCCACAAGCCCAGAGATGGCCCCACCCACAATGGGTAGGGCCTTCCTGCATCAATTGCTAATTAAGAAAGTGTCCTACAAGCCTGCTTGCAGCCTATTTTATAGAGGCATTTTCTCAATTGAGGTCCCATCTCTATGATGACATTAGCTAGTGTCAAGTTTGCATAAAACTATCCAGCATGCTGTGCAGACAGACATTCACTCAGACTGTGGTAAAGCCACACACACTGTCTAGTTCTAGGTTGGAGCAATGGGTCAGTCCATAAAGCGCTTGGGCGGAGTACTTTAGACCTATTTCCAGGGTCTGGAATGAGACTTTGCACATAGCAAATCTTTAGCAATTGTATATGCATATGTGCAGGTTCACTGCCGTTGTGTGTGTGTGTGTGTGTGTGTGTGTGTGTGTGTGTGTGTGTGTAAGCACCTTATCCTTATGCCCTGAATTATCTCCCCAGTCACTTGAGTAACTTTTGAGGACTACATGAAACATTTCGATGCTTTGCTTTGCTCACTTGGATGATAACAACATACAGGAAGATGGCATTTGCTAAAGACAGTAAGCCAGTTCTGACAGAAGAAGCAGTGTGGTGTCACGGAAAACCACAGCAGATTCGGCACAACTATGGTCTTAGGTTGGTTCTTCAAGAAGCTTAGATTGGCAGGCTCTATCAAAGGAAGACTCTGTGCTCCCTGGGAAAGCAAACAGCTCATATTCATATCTAGTAAGCTGTAACATGTATCTCCAAATGTGATCCTCAGTTCATGTTCAAGAGATCTGAAATTCCTTTGATTGGAAAGAAATGTGCCCCCCATTATTATTTTACTTGCAAGCTATATATTAGTCTTCTTTGATAACTGTCTCTTCAAAGTAAAAGGACTATATTCATATTATATTTAAAACAGTGAACTTCAAAGCTTTCATTTGAATGCTAGTAGGGTGCACAGGCAAAAAAAAAAAAAAAAAAAAAAAAAATTCTCAGTGCTCCAGAGACACTGGGCAGTCTGAAATTACAGATGTTTCATTCTTATGTTTTCTTTTCTGTTTTAAGAGTTCTCTTGTAACTTAAAACAAT